TCAAACAACTTTTTTATCAATCGTCCGTTTGTAACTTCGTTTTGCAAAAGACCATTTCAACCGCCCATTTCAAACGACCGTTTGATTGGTAACAAACAGACAGTTAAAAGGTACTTCGTTTGCAAAAGAGGTTACCAATCAAACCTAAATTCACTGCAAAAGAATGTAATAAACTGTCTATATTGCCCTTAAGTAATCACAAGAAAACTAATATGATTTCACCCTAAATTTAACTTATCAACATATACTACCGCATTGTGGCCAACTATTCCTGAATATATATTACTAGAATAGGACCCGCGTTAATACGCGGGTAAACACATTAAAAAAATATTAATATCAAAATTTAAGTTTTAATTAGTAATCTGTTTATTTACAAAAGTATTTTAAAATATTTAAACATGAATCTTAAAAAACTAAAGTTTAATATATATTTTAATTCTCATGTACTAATTCATATTATGCACGCCGAAAAACATATATACATAAATGGAATTCAAATCATATTTTTAATAATAAAAACAAATATTTTTACTCATTATGAATTGATATTAACTATATAATAAAATCTTATAACAATTAAAATATTATAGAGTTAAATTATATAAAAAAAAATTATAACAACTATTAAAATATTTTATAACATTTTAATCAATATTATATATAAATCTATGATTGATAAATGTCATTGATGTCATCGGTTTATTTTTCATAGAGATCTGGTCAAATCTTACACTTTTGGATCTTAAAATTAAATATACTATTACCTTGCTCATTTTTTTTCCTTTTATATAATTTCCTTTTTTGACATTGAAAAGTACAGGTAAAAGATTCATATTTTTTTTGTAATACTCTACAACTATGTTTACAAAGTAAATATGTTTATAGATTTTTTTTCTTTAGTATGTTTGTGCATATAAATTTTAAATTGGGGTTTCCATATTCTTTTTAAGTTTTTGTTTTTCAGTTTATAAAAATTCTTTTGTTTTATCACTTATATTTGTGGGACAATTGC